CCGACATCGATCGCGGTCTACCACCGTCGAGCACTTTTGCACCCATTGACCACCATCAACCGTCACCGAACCATCGCCGACTGCTATCGACTACCACCAATCTTTATCGGCCGCCTCCTACCATCGTCGATCACTGCCAACCACCAACGGCCAGACGCAGTCACTCGATTTTATAACTTGGGAAATCTAGTAACTCTTTTCTGTTGTGGGACAAATGGATGCAACTATAATCATCTTTTTATAGTGATTCTTCTCTTTCAGAGTTTTTCACGTAAAATTTTTTTTTGTCATTATTAGTTATTTTTCTTTTCTGAGTATATGTTGAATCTCCGTACCACATTAAGACAATAATCTGCTACTCTACTGCTGTGAATTTCCTAGCATACATCAGTTTGGAGCTGTCTATGGGAAACTTTGATCCCGCCACTGAATACTTGGGAGGCTTACTAAATGACCACCAGACAAAATATTCGTCACGACAGAGCATCCCGCTCCAACACCCATCATTCCATGGAGCAGTCACGAAGCCAAGGGCATCATGCTTCTTCACTTCCAACCCTAGAAGATGTTATCCTGCCAACGAAGGCGTCTTGGATCCTTCTATAAAAGACCGAATGAGCAGAATGGAGGACTCTCAACTAGAGATCTTATATCTCCTACGCGGGGCTCAACAGCCACTTCCCACGCCGTTGAATAAAGTTTGTTTACCATTAACTAAGCGACCTACAGGAAATGCATTATTTGGAGGAACTAGTACTGGCCCCCCTCCCCAAGAAGGAACACTTCTCCTGCCAAGTCGTGATGTTGAACTCTTAAATACCGCAAGTTTCACTCATCCATCACTCGCAGTTCGCCTGGCACCGCCACGCCTTGTTGTCTTTCCAGATGATGTCATTCGTAACAAGTTACGACGTCTCGTCCGGGAAGAGTTCTCCCTACAGATAAAAGATTGCTTCCCCACTCACCGTAGCGTATAAATCTTATACCTTAGTGGATGTGGTCCTCCAGCACTCCATCCAAACATGCTTCAAGATTCCAAACATTGATACCTACGAAGGGATAACTGACCGCTATGAGCATATTAATCATTATTGAATCATCATGCACATTTAGTTTGCCTCTAATGCACTTATTTATCAAGTGTTCTCAGCTATTCTTGAAGGACAAACTCGCAACTGACTCTACTCTTTGTTAGGAGGTACTTTAAACACATTTAACAAACTTGTCAGTCTATTCACGAAGCAGATCATGGCAAACCGACAAATCATCAAGGATTCATCCATCTCTTAGAAATTTGCCAAATTGAAGGAGAGTCGCTCAAGGACTACTCCCGTAGGTTTTTCATTGAAACTTCTTAGATTCCCAAAGTGGATCCAGAGTTAGTAAGAAGAGTCTTCCTTAGGGGCCTATGCCCAAGACCCTTCTACTCATCATTGATGTGGGAGACAAGTTGTTCTTATGTTAACCTTGTCCACCTTGTTGTGGTCTAAATCACTATGGACAAAGCCACAACGCACATAAGGAGCAGTTCGAGCAATTTATGGGAAAGCGCAAGAGTAACGCTGGAGACAATAATCAATCTTCACAACGGAGAGAGTTTGAACAACAGAAGAATCATGAACTCCCTCCCCAACTTATGGGCTAGCAAAGTGAGCATCAACCTAAGAAAGAGTATACACCACTCAACACGTTGTGCGTTAACGTCTTAATGACCATCAAAGATGAGGAAACTATTAAGAGCATGTTTGGGGTGGCTACAAATTATTGATAATATGTTGATAAGCAGTTGATCTGGATAAACTAGTGATTAGCAGCTTATCCAGATAAGTTGACTGTCTGTTTGATTTGTGCGTTCGGAAAACAGTTGATTTGCAGCTATTTTTGAATAAATGATCATTATGCCCATATGCAATAATGTTATTTACGACAGAACTGTCATAGCTATAAAGTAGATACTTTGGAAGCAAATAATCACTTTTTAATAGTACAAAAAAGATAATTTTTAGTGCAATCATAATTTATTAATTTTGACATTATACTTTAGAAGCAAATAACCACTTATTATCAGATGTTTGGACCATTTACATCCAATCAAATTCAGTTTGGTTTGCATTTTTTAAATCAAACACAACCATCCTTGTTCTCTCCTAACTGTATGTATCAAAAGATTAACATGGCACTCAAACACAATACAACAAAAATTGCCATTTGATCCACACCTTTAAGGCTCAGCATGGCAATGGCTTATCTCCAATCTATCATATATTTCATAAGGAAGCCCTAGAATGATCAGACAACACATCAATCCAATTCACTTAGCACAGAACTTTCAAGTGCCCGGATACTGCAACCTCGCCAACAAATTAAAGCTAAGAACTTCATACTTCTTCATGTTGAATAACACGTAGAAACCTATTCCCTAGCTTCGATTCTCTTCTCTAATAAAGTTAATCTCCCTCTTGCTGCATGACTCACACTTCACTTCCGCTAGCAGTGATTGATATAACTGAAGAAACGACGTCGAGCAAGCCAGCCCACCGAGTTATTTCGCTCATCAAAGAAACCAAATCGCCATTTTTCACGCAGTCATTGAATTCATTAGCTCTTCAAACACAGTGAAAAGGAGTAAAGATACACTTACCTCCACATAGAACAGTCCGAGCAAAGAAATTTCACTCTGGTCG